TATGTTTTCGATGGCTTAAAGAAGACAGGACTGTTAGCTTTTACACCAAATATTCGCCAGACAAAAAAGGCTTTTTACCACACACGGACGTTCTGGTTTTGTTTAATAATTGATAGAGTCCCGTTGCTTAATTATACAATGAAAATAAAACCATTTTGCAGTTTTAGTATCGTTGAGTCAAAATAATTAGTTATCTTTGTCAGTCATGGGGACCTTGAAACATTTACACCTTTCACTTCGTATTATTGCTTTTTATTATTTTAAGTTGTCAAAATGTGTCACAACAAGGTCCAGTGAGCAGGTTGTCTAATTTTATCTATGCTCTGTCATAATTAATCTGCATCACCTGAATAATTCCTGAAACTTGACAAAATCGGGATGACAGATGTGCAGCGATCGGATAAAGCCGTTTGTTTTTGCAGAATTTTATTCTGAGATATAGTATTTGGAAAAAAGGTAAAAAAAAAAAAATGAGATGAAAGCTATTGCTATGAAATTACATGATTGTTAACAAGTTCTGAAGGTGAATTAACCTATGAAAAACGAAAACAGTTTCTTTTCTTCAATCAGGAGGAATACACCGTATTGTTTTGGATCAAAGCAACTTAATAGGTACGGTTTTTACGTAGTGTCTAGTATTTTTATAATTTATATTTTAAACATTGCTTCCTTTAAGTACCTATAAACGTCATAAAGATCATGATCTTACTACTTCAGTCTGCACTTCTTTAGTGCACATACGTTTGCTTTTTATTCTACGTCTGTTCAATATGTGCTTAATCAAAGGTAACAAAAGTCAGACATAAATTCAATGATTCTAAGCCTTCTCTTTAGCTAATGGCAACTATTTTGAGCGTTATGAGGCTAGATTTGCTTATTTCTATTCATTGCAACCGTCTTAATCCTTGTCATATTATTTGTTGCATATACATTGCTCAAGTCTTGCCTCGCTAACATTAAAAGTCGAATAAATTTTCCAACGCTGATTATTAGCCGACACGGCGTCGGCTTTTGTCAAAAGCAACAGTTTAACTAACGATGTTTTATATCTCCCACAGAGAAGAAAAAGAATTGACATACCTATTTTATTGGATGTGTCATAAAGCTGAATAAGACATCACCAAATTTAAGACGAGGCTATTACGATTTTGCGTTCGCTGGTTTTTCAATATATTTTTTTCCTGTCGCGTTTTATATTCAAACAGTTTTGCTCGACATGAAACTTGAAGTGAATGAGTTACTCCAGTACATGAAGAAGTTAATCACTTAATTTTTACTGGTTTTTCTTTGCTGCTTAGTTATCCCGAATATTCCCGCTCAGTTTACTCTTCAAAAACAGAGACATCTTCAAAATAATCTGGCTAGTTTTAGACTTCATCTCTCTTTAATTTGTTATAACCAGGTAAAAAAAAAAACAAACTAAGACTGACTATTTCATAGGNTCACGATTTTGCGTTCGCTGGTTTTTCAATATATTTTTTTCCTGTCGCGTTTTATATTCAAACAGTTTTGCTCGACATGAAACTTGAAGTGAATGAGTTACTCCAGTACATGAAGAAGTTAATCACTTAATTTTTACTGGTTTTTCTTTGCTGCTTAGTTATCCCGAATATTCCCGCTCAGTTTACTCTTCAAAAACAGAGACATCTTCAAAATAATCTGGCTAGTTTTAGACTTCATCTCTCTTTAATTTGTTATAACCAGGTAAAAAAAAAAACAAACTAAGACTGACTATTTCATAGGAAAATAAAACAGCCTTACATGTAAAACGAGCACAGTGATATATTTTGTTGATTTCCCTTTTTTTTTTCCCAAAAAATAATTTCGGAAAAATTGTTCCGGGCCATATTGTTAATTTTTAGGCACTCACAGCGAACGAATATATAATGGTGGTCTACGTGTGCATTCTTTGTTGTGCTAATGCAATACAGACAAATGTACCCCGTCATTCTCGATAGTAAACGTTTATTAGATCACAACCCTAGACTTTCTGTTACGAAGGCAGTCTCGAATATTCTACTCAGTTTCGACCTCTGGTTGAATCCAAAACGAGTCTATAACACGACTGTGCCATGTTCAACTCCGCAGCTGCGCTAACTTAATAAACAACCAAATGAACAGGTTCCTTCAATTTTACTTAGTTCTCATTTATCTGATAAGATTCTTTTCAGTTTAGTTTTCGTTTAGTTTTTTCTCAGTATTTAAGAGCAGCTTCGCCTAAATATCAACTAGACTTGGAAATAGCGAAAAAATCGAATTTCTTCAATCTCGCCCAGAATGAAGCCCTACGGGCACT